GACAGGAATTTACCTCCCAGATGGTACCTTGAGTTCAGCCTCGTGCTCCCTTCGCCTAATTTCATTACCTTACACTTTCTGAGTTAAACTTTAGTAGCCATTTTCAAGACCATTCCTCCAGTTTATCCAGGTCATCCTGTAGCTCTATCTATCATTATCTGTCATGATTATTTTGATAATTTTTTTAATCATCAGCAAACATTAAGAGGAATGAGTCTATACCCTCTGGAACATCGTTTACATATATCAAAAACAAGATGGGTCCAAGTACAGAGAACTGTGGGACTCCGCTGGTGACATCTCACCACTCTGATCCCCCCCCCCCCCTCACAGTTTCTCGCTGTTTCCTGTTGCTTAGATACTCCCTAATCAACTGGACCACCTTACCTCTTACTCCTGCCTGTTGCTCCAACTTTTGTAACAGTCTCTTATGGCGAACTGTGCCAAAGGTTTTCTGACAGTCTTATTCCTTTACATGTGGGGCTTTCCTAACCCTGGACACTTAATCTTTTATTTTATGTGCAGTTTTTATGTCCGGTCTAGTCGGGCCAGGTTTTTTCTGGTCAGGTTAGGTTAGGTTTGGTTTGGTTCGTTAGGTACCTCTCTATTCTCCATTGAATTTCGCTCTAAATAGGTCGTCCTTGATGGACTTTCCTCTCTTCCAGGCTGTCATCGGTAGTGTTTCTGGGAAAGCTCGCCAGGCTGGTTGCTCACCGTAATTTGTTTCCATTCACTGCCACAGGTCTCTCATTTTTGTCTGCAGGTATCTGGCTAGACATGGGTAAAATGGGGCTGATAGGATCCATCCATCTTGTCGTCTCCGATTCATGTTTGCTTGTAGGAGGCGATTTATGTCCAGGCTTCCCAATTAATCTGCGGCCTCTCTCATTATGTGCTCTGGGTATACCCTCCCCCTGCAACGTCTCCAGAGGTTGTAGAACTGTGGTGACAGGTCCTCCTCCATGCTTGTTATCCTTTCCAGCCGGAGACCTACTGAAAAGGAAAGTAATTTTTTTAGTGCTTGTGTGTAGCTTGAGTCATATCTGAGGTATGCGAGAAGGTTTGTCGGCTTGTAGTTGGCTGTCGTTTGCAAGGTTCTCGGTCTCTCGTCGATATATACTCTGGTGTCTTGGAATGGGATTGATGTCTCGCTCCTCTTGAGGGTGATTTTCAGGTTGTCGTGTACCGTGTTTGTCCATGTGAAGAACTCTTGTAGTCTGTTTTCTCCTTCTATTATCCCAAAGTTGTCGTCAATATATCGACAATAGATTAGTGATGCATTCCGCCTCTCCACTCTCCTCCTTTCAAAGATTATGTAGACGAAAGTTTCTGCTATTGCTACGCTACTCGAGGCTCCTATTACCATTCCCTTGGTATGCCTGTATGTTGCTCCATTGAAATTAGGAGTAGAGTTTTAATAGTCTCCTCCTCCTTCTCGTCTGTGCGTTTCTTAATGCTGCTGGGAGGTTGCTAGTCGGTTTATAGGTTAAAGTATCTCCCAATTTTGCATTTCTCTTTTGTTGTTGACTGTTTTCCATATCACTACTGGTCCCCCTTTATCAGCTGGCATTTCATCTACGGGCTCACCATAGCCCGTGTTACTTGGAACATTTTGTTCCAGGTAGCGAATCTTTAACAACAACAACAACAGCTGGCTTTATTACTATATCCCTTCTGGGAAGACAGGGTCCTACTCTCCACGCGTTGTAGGTTGCATCTCTGTCTTTTCTCGACCGTACGTCTAAGTTTCAGTTTTATCTCTTGGATTTTGCTTCTCAGTCCTTGTAAGTTGTAGTTTGGTTACGTCTCTGTCCGTGGTGGGTATAGGTATCTGTAGGAGCGGGAGGTTCTATTGCCTGTTGTTCTCAGTCTTTCGCCTCTCTCCCCAGTTGTGTCAGAGATGCAGGTGACATTTTTTAACACCTAGTTAATAATTGCTCTTGATTCAGATTAAGGACAATGAGACAATAAGCTGGCGGGACCTGACCAATTTGTAATAAAGCTGCGAAAGCAGTGTCGTAGACTTGAAAGCCTTGCAATTTATGAATACTTTTGTTTGATATCTTGGCTCTCTCTTTCTTCTCTGTTTATTGTTGTATTACTGTCTTTTGTCTATTAGACTTTTATATATCTAATGAATGTCTTGAGAACTGCATATTTTGAACTACGGGTAACACATCTAATGATATTGTAAGGACCCATAACCTTCGAGAAGAAAATAAAAAGCTATTTATAGAAAACCGTACACATTCCATCAGAACACTTGAGTATTTTCTTCTTTCTTCCCATCTTTTATTATTTTATACAATATAATTGATTGATTTATTACATGTTTGCAGATTGCAGAAAACACACACACATAGAGAAATCACTGGAGGATTCCCAAGATATATCAAGCATTTTCTCTATGGATCGTGACACTGGGGATCAGGAAACAGGAAGCACTTGAGTTTCAAGATTGCCCAGTGAATCCTCAGAAGCTAGGAGCACCCCACGAACACAAGGGCTAAGAGCACCTGTCTCCTGAAGCCCACATAAAAAGAATGACATCTGCAGCATACGCGAGGCTGGCTAACATCAGAATAGCCTTCAGGAACCTGTGTAAGGAATCGTTCAGAACCCTGTATACCACATACGTAAGACCAATCCTGGAGTATGCGCCCCACCATGGAGCCCGTACCTTGTTTATCAAAAGACGAAATTGGTCAAGAAGTCCCAGAACTAAGAGGCATGAGTTACGTGGAAAGGCTGCTTGAAATGCACCTCCTACACTAGAAGACAGAAGAGCTCGGGTAGACATGATCATTACCTACAAAATTCTCAGAGGAATTGACAGGGTAGATAATGATAAACAGTTTAACACAGGTTATATGCGAACAAGGGGACACAGGTGGAGACTGAGTACCCAAATGAGACACAGGGACATTAGAGAGAACTTTTTCAGTGTCAGAGTAGTTAACAGGTGGAATGCATTAGGCCGTTATGTGGTGGAGGTTGACGCCATACACAGTTTCAAATGTAGATATGATAGAGCCCAGTAGGTTCAGGAATCTGTACATCAGTTGACTGACGGTTGAGAGGAGGGGACCAAAGAGCCAGAGCTCAACTCGCGCAAGCATAAATAGGCGAGTACAAGTAGGTGACTACATACACATAAAGTAATTATGCTTATTTTAAAGTAAGCAAAATTAAACATTATAAAAATGCAATTTGTATATTAGTAAAAATGTATAAAATAACGTTAAAAATATACTTCACATTAAAAGGTTTGGTGTGACCTATTTACAACCAATTAAAAGTTAGATAAACGTATAGTGTTTGTTGGACAAGTCCTAATTGGTAGGATTTAGGTGGCTGGCAGGAGTGAGACTAACCTGGGCATCAATAGTGCTGCCAGGTTTGGGTGACATAACTAGGGAGAGTAACCTGGGCATCAATAGTGCTGCCTGGTTTGGGTGACATAACTAGGGAGACTAACCTGGGCATCACTAGTGCTCCCAGGTTTGGGTGACATAACCAGTGAGACTAATCTGGGCATCACTAGTGCTCCCAGGTTTGGGTGACATAACCAGTGAGACTAACCTGGGCATCAATAGTGCTCCCAGGTTTGGGTGACATAACCAGTGAGACTAACCTGGGCATCACTAGTGCTGCCAGGTTTGGGTGACATAACCAGTGAGACTAACCTGGGCATCAATAGTGCTCCCAGGTTTGGGTGACATAACCAGTGAGACTAATCTGGGCATCAATAGTGCTCCCAGGTTTGGGTGACGTAACCAGTGAGACTAACCTGGGCATCACTAGTGCTCCCAGGTTTGGGTGACATAACCAGTGAGAGTAACCTGGGCATCAATAGTGCTCCCAGGTTTGGGTGACATAACCAGTGAGACTAACCTGGGCATCACTAGTGCTCCCAGGTTTGGGTGACGTAACCAGTGAGACTAACCTGGGCATCAATCAACCCGTTCTCGCAAATTTAATAAGTCAATATTGACTTATTAAATATGTGCATAGGTGACATACTTAACATAATAGATACCCTTAAAAAGATTCATAGAAAACACCGACCTTACCTAACCTACTTAGTATGTTAAGATAAGCATCTTATTGCTTCGTAATTACAATTATTACCTAACCTATAATAGGTATAGGTTAAGTAATAATTGTAATTACGAAGCAATAAGATGCTTATCTTAAGATACTAACAAGGTTAGGTAAGGTTGGTGTTTTCTATGAATCTTTTTAAGGGTATCTATTATGTTTAGTATATCACCTATGCACGTAGTTAATAAGTCAATATTGACTTTACGAATTTGCGAGAACGGGTTGCATCAATAGTGCTCCCAGGTTTGGGTGACATAACCAGTGAGACTAATCTGGGCATCAATAGTGCTCCCAGGTTTGGGTGACATAACCAGTGAGGCTAACCTGGGCATCACTAGTGCTCCCAGGTTTGGGTGACGTAACCAGTGAGACTAACCTGGGCATCACTAGTGCTCCCAGGTTTGGGTGACATAAACAGTGAGACTAACCTGGGCATCAATAGTGCTCCCAGGTTAGGGTGACATAACCAGTGAGACTAACCTGGGCATCACTAGTGCTCCCAGGTTAGGGTGACATAACCAGTGAGACTAACCTGGGCATCACTAGTGCTCCCAGGTTAGGGTGACATAACCAGTGAGACTAACCTGGGCATCACTAGTGCTCCCAGGTTAGGGTGACATAACCAGTGAGACTAACCTGGGCATCACTAGTGCTCCCAGGTTAGGGTGACATAACCAGTGAGACTAACCTGTGCATCACTAGTGCTCCCAGGTTAGGGTGACATAACCAGTGAGACTAACCTAGGCATCACTAGTGCTCCCAGGTTAGGGTGACATAACCAGTGAGACTAACCTGGGCATCACTAGTGCTCCCAGGTTTGGGTGACATAACCAGTGAGACTAACCTGGGCATCACTAGTGCTCCCAGGTTTGGGTGACATAACCAGTGAGACTAACCTGGGCAACAATGATGTAGACATCACAGCCGGTGCTCCGCCAGGTGGTTCTTGTCTCCCTCGAACCACCAGCTGATATAACCTGCAAATGACAAACACTCACTTGACACTGCCTGCACAGAGACATATAATGTATTGTGATCACAAGAAACCGTTAAGGGAGGGAAGCAAGATGCCGGTTAGGGTGATAGGAAGAATAGGAAAAGATACAAGGAGGGTTCAATGAATAATTTGAAAAAGGATCTAAACATAATTGTCCAAATGACATAAACATGAACGTCCAAACAACATAAACATGGCAACATGTTTATATAAACATGTGAACATTATTAGAGGTTCAAAAGAAAAACGAACAGCTAAAAAAATAAAAAAAATAACATGAAGGAAATTATAGAGTCCATAGATGTAGATTTCTAAACTACAGGAGGAAGTGATCAGAGGGCTTAAGCAGATATAACTTTACTAGGAAGAATAATACTGGAAATGGAGATAGAAAAAAAATAGAAGGATTAGAAAAGGTCACTGAGGACCTAAAATCAAACAGTGGTGGAAGTGATGAACTTCCACCACTGTTGGAAGTTCACTGATGTTGCTATATTGAAAAGAAATGAAGGGAATTTTTTTTTTTTTTTTTTTTTTGCAGGGATATTCCTGCGCGGGCCCTAAGCCTCTGGCTGGCCCACTAAGTGTTGCTGGTTTCTGTTTTACATGGGTGGAGTATGAGTATTTATGACTCGTATGGTCGCTTCAGTAAGATTTTGCCATATGTGTTTAACAACTTCTGCTCCGTCGAATCTAAGTTGAAATCTTTATGGGTTTGTAACTGTGCACTGTGTTAGATAATGTTCCAGTGGTCTGTCGGGCATTTCTCTACAGTGTTGACATTTCCTCTCATCTTCCGGAACCTGTAAGCCTATTTCCCATGCACATGGGTATCCAAGCCTGATGCGATGTAAGTGCACTTCTGTTGTTCTACTGCTCCCTTTCATCAAACTAAGTGGTTCGTAGTTGGTTGAATTCTTGTACCAACCCGCAGATCCTGATGTTGCAACTGCTGTGTTGTGGTCACTGTACATCTTTTGCATTGCTCTGTTTCTAATTACTTTCTTAATCTGTGATAGACTCTGTGGTATGTAAATGTCTACATTTCTCCTCTTAGTAGCAAGTTTTGCAGCTTCGTCTGCAATGTCATTTCCTATTATTCCCACATGACTTGGCACCCAGTTGATAAGTACCCGTCGGCCTTGTCGTTTGAGTGTTTGCATGAATGATAAAACATTTGTGATCAGATGGATGTTATCACATATGTGTTCTTGTTGCAAGGTTTCAATGGCGGTTCTCGAATCGAAGGGAAATAATCCACAAATGAAAGGAAAATGTCGGGCTTCAGAATAGAACAAAAATCAGTGAAATGTAAGGGAACATTGGTGGCCTCCTCTTGCTTGCTTCCTCTTCTGAGACAGAAGAGGAGGCAAAGAAAGAGATAAGTAAGAGTGAATAAAAAGCATCGTGAATGTGACTGATAAATGGGAAACAAGAACAGACAAACATTTGCTGAAGTAGCTACATTATCAGGGTTAAAAGCAAAGTATTAAAGCCATATCAATAGCTGCTGCAACAAATCAGCAGGATCAAGAGCTGCTGCAACAAATCAGTTGGATCAATAGCTGCTGCAACAAATCAGCAGGTAGCGAAAAGTGCAAGGCTGGATTTGGAGAGGAAAAAAAATCAGCTACAGCCACAGAGAGACACACATAGCAAAGGAGAAGAGAAGGGGGCAGAAACAGACTGCAGGAATTCTCAACAGAATATGGGCTAGAAAGGCAACCTGGGAAATTGAGCGTTACGTAAAACTTTGTATGCTCTATATGGGGGGATGAATCGACCATAAAGTAACCTAAAGTAACCTAAAGTAACAGAAGAGGGCCTTATCATAAGGTATATATTAGCTAATGCAGGTCAAAGGAGGATAAAGGAAACAAAGAAAATCAGAGGCAAAAAGAGCAAATGCTTCAAGGAGACAAGAAAACATCACAAACGAGACAGACAACAATGAAAGGAATGCACAAGAGCCGGAAAGTAAGTAATCAGAGAGCTCAGTCCAACAGAATAATAAGTCTAACCAGTTTATTGAGATATTCATCCAGATCAGTGAACAGGAGTGACCAACAAATGGCCCCTCTCCTATTAGAATTGGCCTTTGAACAAACGGAACCGTGGAAGAAACAAAAAGCAGCCTGGTAGAAATGAGTTGTATTAATGTCATGTTAACAAATGCAGATGGAATTACTAATAAATGAATAGAGCTACAGGAAAGTGTGACAGAAGAGCAACAACACATCACTGCAATACCAGAAATGGAATTGATAAGTATTATACGAAACACAATCTCCCAGATGAGGAGGAGGTGGTGCAGCCCTACTGCTACAACTACATTGGAGCTATGAGGAAGTGAAATTGGCTGAGAAATATGATCAACATGAATAAAAAAAGTTTTAATAATGTAAAAACAAAATTTGGAGACATGAAGATAGTGATCATGGTGGTTTACAGCTCCCTACTAAACAGCAGAATTCCTAGAGAAGATTATTACAGTACAGTGTGTGACACTTGTCTTAAATAAAAAGCAGCCAGAATTGCCATGGAGGAAGGCTTAAATTATGATTCTAATATTTGGCGATTTCAATCACAGGGAAATACACTGGATAAATAAGGACCTCAACTCAGTTGATGGGAGATGGAGAACAAAACAGGTAGACATAGTAGGCTATCAAGTCTTGAAATAGCATATTATAGAAGCAACAAGAGTAAAGGTAGATGATCAGGCAGCAATACTAAGTTTGGAGTTTTCCCAAAATGAGGCACATATTGAGAAGATGAGATGGCATTAAGGGCCAGCAACCACTGTGTTATAGACCAAGAGGCACACAGAGGAAGACAATGAGAAACTACAAACCTGGGGACTACAGAGAGGTGAGAGATTTTCTGATTGAGAGGTATATAATTTTTATATATTATGTTCAACGTACTTAGTTCTAAGATGTCCTTACTGTCGTTTATTTTTAAACCCATAACGTTTGGGGTAATAATTTGTTTGGGTCTATTTTGCACATATATGGAAGCCCGTATTGAATAAAAAAATTTTTTACTATAAACTATACTTTCAAACAACATTTTTCAGTAAGGAACACGAACGTTATATGCCATTCTGAGTCCATAATAAATAAAATATAAATTGGGGACATTTTAATATTTTTGAACCTAATTTGAAATTGTGATATTTAAAAAAAAAATCTGTTCATGGTATGATGTTGGTTGATTAGGAAAAGTTGGAGCATTTACCATGGAGTTATTCACCAAAAATTGAGAGTGAGGAAGTTTCAGTACACAATCACTGGGGCCCTTTAAGAAATTGTGTCCCCAAAAATATGTTTTAGTGATCTCTAATGATTTTAATAACGTCAGAAAGACGTTTTTAATTCAATAGTTACAGTGTTACCTATCTGCTACTACTTAAAAACTTGCACAAACGTAATGTGTTTGCTGGGTAATGCTTCGGCAATGGATCTGGCCACCATCGAGTTCGGATGGTCTCGCACAGTATTTACCCAGGTCTTTTCTAAACCTAAACTTATCCTTTCATACCCACTTTTTCGAGTTCTGTCTTGTGTTGATACTTTTAATACCCTATTAATATCTCCTTTGTTATGCTCATTCATCCACTTGTATACCTCTATCATGTCACCCCCTAAATCTTTGCCTGTCTTGAGGATGTAATTTAAGCTTTGTCAATCTTTCTTCATAACTCAGTTTTCTAATTTGTGGAATTAACTTTGTCATCCTAATCTGGACGCGTTTTAGTGAATTTATATCCATTCTATAGTACGGCAACCAAAGCTTTGCGAGCCATTGTCTACCATATTTAATATATATCATTAGAGTCAAGCAGAGTGCCAGAATCATGGAAGGTTGCTAATGTGGTACCAATTTTTAAGAAAGGAGATAGATCAATTGTGTCCCACTATCGGCCAGTTAGCCTAACATCTCATGTGGGAAAGTTACTTGAATCGATAATTGCAAATACCATTCGTCTTCATCTCGAGAAACATAAATTAATATATGATTCACAACATGGTTTTACAAACGCTGTTCATGTTTAACAAATTTGCTAGCATTTTATTCCAGCATAGCTGTGGCAGTTGATAGTGGTAAGGTCTTTGATGTTGGGTACCTTGACTTTAACAAAGCTTTTAATACAATGCCACATGAAAGACTGATTAAAAAGATGGAGGCTCATGGCATTAGGGGGTGCTATATTAAGTTGGATTAGGGAATGGTTATACCAAAGGAAATAGAGAGTTGGTGTATTCTCTAGTGTTAGTTAGTGTTAAGTTAGTGTTAGCTACACACCACTGTTGCCACCACACTCCACTATCACCACCACATATCATAAGGGTGGCAGACTACACTTTCCTGGACTGCCAGAGAGCTTTGAAACAGTACCCAATAAAAGGCTGTTAAAAATGTTGGTGCAACAGGCAGGAGTAAAAGGAAAGGTGCTCCAGTGGATAAGAGAGTACTTAAGCAACAGGAAACAGCGAGTAACGGTGAGGGGGGTGATATCACAGTGGCGAGATGTCACCAGCGGAGTCCCACATGGCTCAGTACTTGGACCCATCCTGTTTCTAATATGTTTCTAATATATTTAAACGATCTTCCGGAGGGTATAGACTCATTCCTCTCAATGTTTGCTGATGATGCAAAAATTATGAGAATAATCAAGACGGATCAAGATAGACAGAGACTACAGAATAACCTGGATAAACTGGAGAAATGGTCTAGAACATGGCTGCTAAAGTTCAACTCAGGAAAGTGTAAGGTGATGAAATTATGCGAAGGGAGCAGGAGGCTGAACACAAGGTATCATCTGGGAGGTGACATCCTGCAAGAGTCAAATAGAGAGAAATATTTGGGGGTTGATATCACATCGAACCTGTCCCCAGAGGCCCACATCAAAAGAATATCATCAGCGGCATATGCTAGACTGGCCAACATAAGAACTGCCTTTAGAAACTTGTGTAA